GCAATCAGTTAAATAAATAGATGGATTAAATCTTATCTGTCTCTGTCAGGCAAAGGATACAGTACTCATTTAACATGATAAACACAGCCATATCTCTTCTTCCAGAGCTGGAATCTTATAGTTTAAGTTATATTTAAGTGACCACAAACTGCATGTTAAATCAGTAGCACTCAGTAAGTTGATTTAGTTGTCCATAAGGAAGAGAAAGAGACTGATCTTTTTTTGACAAGATTGCTGATATCTCTATCCTATTTCACCACTGAAGCAAGATTCAGCCACAGACCAGGATAGGTCATGCATTGGCTACCAATTAATAAGAGCAATGAAGATTGTAGTAGCAGTAGTAGTAGTAGTAGTAGTAGTAATAACAACAAGCAGCAACAAAAATAATAATTATACTGACATAATATTCTTTCCTCAAATAAACAATGGAAAAGGAAGGAAGGTGGCAAATATATTTTCATTTGCAACATATCTTGTGCATAGTTTTTAAAGTTACCAAGTTATCCTCAATGCATACTTAACTTTTAAGCCTAATTAGTACACTTATTAATAAGTGCATGTGCAGTTTCAAGGGAGACAAGGGTTATCCTAACACTACAGGATCAGAGACTCTCTGTGTCACGTTCTACATGGAACCAGAAATGAGAGTCTTCTGTTTGTGATTTTGAGGACAATATACTGCAGACATCAGTGAACTATTTATGAATCTTGCTGTAACATGTAAAAGAAGGAAGAAAACATAGGAAATGACCATAACTGCATAAGAAATACACTGCACATAGCAGTACAACAGTGATGCACAATTTTGAAAACATGGGCAAGTGAAACTTCAAGACTATTTCTAACGCAGGAAAGTATAAAAATTATCTAGGCATCATGTAAACAGTGGAGAAAAGAACAATTTTTCATTTCACTCACTGAATCACTCAGCAAAGTGCTCGCAACAGCCCACAAAAACCAATGGAATCCTGGGCTGCATCCAGGGCAGTGTGGCCAGCAGGTTGAGGGAGTGGATTCTGCCCCTCTGCTCTGTCTGTTGAAACCTCACCTGAACCACTGTGTCCAGCTATAGGGCTCCCAACATAAGAAGGACATGGAACTGCTGGAGCAAGTTCAGAGGAGGCCACAAAGCTGATAAGAGAGCTGTAGCTCCTCCTCTACAAACACAGGCTGAGAAAGCTGGGGCTGTTCAGGCTGCAGAAGAGAAGGCTGAGTGCAGACCTCAGAGCAACCTGCCAGTATCTGAAGGGGGGACTACAGGGAATCTGGAGAGGGACCCTTTGTCAGGAACTGTAGGGACAGGACAAGCAATAATGGGTACAAACTGAAAGAGGTGAAATTCAGATGTATAGAAGAAATTCTTACAATGAGTGTAGTGGAACAAGTTGCCCAGCCCCAATAGAGGAAGTGTTCAAGGCCCGGCTGGGTAAAGTGGGACTGTCCCTGCCCATGGCAGGGGTGGTTGAGACTAGATGATCTTTACAGCCCATTCTAACTCTTAACATTCTATGATTCTATTCTGCATTAAAGAAATACCATACTGTGGCATCACTAAAGGTCCTGGTGAGGAGAGGAAATTATTTTCATTTGTACTGCAGTAACTCAGAAGTCACTACTGGCTTATCAGTTACTTGAGGTTTAGTCACTTGAGGTTTGTTTATTTTGCCTCTCACAGGACCACATTTTTATAAACTGTTGCAGTAGACGAAGGACATGTAACTTTTTTTCCTGGTAGTAACAAGTGAAAATACATAAATTAGGTATGAGATGCACCATGGTTCATTAGAAAATCCTAAACTTATTCCAAGAAAGCTTCCATATAGTTAAACATGAGATTCAGAAAGTTGGGGAGAAAAGGGTAACTATGAATCATAATTTATAGGTTGAAAACCAATTATTTTTTCGTATTCTATTTTTTTCTAACAATGTCATGGGAAACAACTTTTCTTTACTTCTGTTACTTGAAGTTGCACGGAAATTGTTTCAGTCGAGGATTTTTTTCTGAAAGATACCATCAGTATTGACACATTGACTAGCTGAAACAAAAAGTGTTTGTTACACGTTTCTCTTTTCTTTCTCCAATTCAATAGAAATTAGGAAGATGAATTTGGTCTGTCTCACAGTCTAACTTAACGGAGTAAATAATGATACTTGATACTTCAAAAGAAGGGTTGTTTTCACACATTGGTTTTAAGATCACTCCTTTTGTCTGAATAGAGACAATCAGTTTCAGGAGGAGAATGAACTACAAAGTTGTGCTCCTACTTCTAAAGCTTGCCGATCTTTGGTGAACTTCATAAACTGAAATATCTTGAATAAAGTCTTATACAAAATGTAACTATTTTTCCATATCTAAAGTTTACTTTAAAAATATTACTACGTGCTCTTCTTCCTAAACCCCTTCAATCTTTCATCAAACATGCTTCCTCTAAATTCATTGCTTTATTCCACTGTATAAAACTAAGTGGATTCAAATACAAGAAGAATCTGAAGCATTTGGTTGTTATTAGTGTGGAGATAGTGGCCTCACACATACAAAATATTAAAAATATGGAGAAATGCTCAAGTGAATTTTGTTTGGGGGATATACAGCACGAAATCACAGCCTGTAATACAACAGATCTTTTTCTTTTTTATTTTTATTGTGCAGTACAATTTCAGGTTAATAAAACAAACAAAGACAATACTTTTATTCTCTAATCCCCACAGTTTATTATTTTTATTTAAATATAACATACTATACATTGTTGCTCAGTGATTTTGGTATCCCTTTTATTTTCTAAACCCCTCCCCCTGTTTTCCTTTTACTCAGGAGACTGTTATGCTCAGGGTGACAGAAAACAGAGCTTATGGTTGAGGATCTGGGATACTCTAATATCTGCAGTTTGCTCCCACTATAGTGGGTGTTACAGTATACCAAACACACAGGAATCATTGATTCCTTCAAGGGTTTTTTTTATTTTGGTTAATTTTCAGAAACCACTCTTCATGTCACAAATGGCTCCTGGCTCACTTTAGGAAAGTGATATTTCCTGATCTTGTCGTTTGAGCAGCATGGTGTTTTGAGTACTATGATAATATTTACGCATAATCCTCCCCTGACCAAGTCATCTAGGTAATTCTGTAAGAAGAGAATTTCATTTGTACCCTAAATGTTCTTTAAGTTGTCATTCAATACTGCTTTCATCCAAACTCATACTGAAGGTTCAGTACGGGTGGTCTATTATGTCTTGTCAGTTTTAATTACTGATTACAAATTTAAACAACAGAAACTTGCTTTTATCATGGTGAAAGTTTTGCTGTGAGCAGCAATTACATTTAAAATCTGAAATTCTTATTTCTCTTTCTAGAAAAATGTAATTTGTGAAGAAGAAAACTGGAGATAAAGTACCATGAAATACAATATCAGATATCAACTAAAAATATGTTGTCTCTCAAAGAATTCCTAGTTTTAAAACAGCTGACTTTATTTAAGGACAGGAAATATAATCTGACCATTTTGTATTTTATGGGAAAGCTTTTTTTTTTGCTTTTTTTTTTTAAAAAAAACAACAGCTAATATTTAAATAACAGATTAAGATTGAAGTGCTGGTTAAACATTGACTTAAATAAGTTATAGAAGGTTCCAACAACACCAGCCTTTATAGAGGTTAAACATTCTCAAAAAGACACATTAAGCAAGGCTCTCCTTGTACCAAAATACAGTCTCCAAACAATAAAAATAAAACCAACTTTTTCACAACGAGAAATATTGAAGATAAACTGCAGCATCAATATAATCTTATAGTTATCAGTTAAAGTATTTAAAACAAAATAATATTATACTACTTTTGTTTCTTACTAAAGACACTGCAAAGGCTTATTTATTTATTTAGTGGAATACAATGTGAAGACAGTGGTACAAATTGTTTGATGTACTGTTTTCTATTTATCTGCTCTAACAAAATGAATCTCAATATGGTTACACTGGTGAGCTATCCAGAGCTCTCTAAAATTACTGAGTAAAGCAAAATATAAAACAAATCTTATGTACCTTTAATTGAACAAACTTCATATTACGCTTAACTTTATTATACTGCAGTTGCTCAAGTTAAGCCACGGGATGAGTAACACTTCATTAAAATGTGCTGGATATTATGTATTTCGAGCCTCCAGCTACTGTGATGGTTATGAAAGGCATGCTAAAGCTGGAAACCAGCACAGCTTTTCAGTTGGCTCTCATATATAATATACACATGAGTAATAATCTCTGAAAAATGCAAGAGCATGATTTTGGATCTCCCGTCTTGCAGTCCTTAGTTAGATATCACTCCCACTATATGCCTGTGATTCTTCAAGTTGGTACCAAAGGCAAATGGGTTGAATGGGAGTATGAACTGAATAAGGTGTGCAAGACTGTGTTGCCTTTTTGCCTCCCTTTCAGCGGCCAAACATTATACTTAGGACTTACACACTATTGTTTTATTTTAACACTTGCAGTCTCAATGATTTTAACAGGGCTGACCACATCAGGCTTCCAGCCCAATGTGTGCTGCAGAATATCACACTGATAGCAGTGTGCTAGATCCCAGCTCCAAACTGAAATCAAAGTCAGATGAATATGCACACAGATGCATTGACACCCAAGTACAGATGTGGCCCCTCCTCTCAATTTCAAAATAGCGGAAAGACCCTTTGAACAAAGTATTTCTTGAAGGTTTTTCTTGAGTGCTGATAAGTACAAAAATTTCTCCAATATAAAGACACCCAATACCATAAATCCAAGCACTGCTTGTTTGGTCTTATGCTTAAGTGCAAGACAGTTTAGGAAAAAATGGGAGCATACACTCTAAATTCTGCCTTTAAAGCCTTGTCTAATAACTATTCTCTGAGTACTTCTGAGGTTCTGACATTTTAATCTATCAACCTCTGTGTGAAGTACTAAGAAAAAGGGAAAATAAGAAAGAAGCAAATGAGGAAACATTTCAAATAAAAAAGATATTTAACATCCTATTAAATAAATAACTTAGAGAGAAATAAAAAGAAATGAATTTAGGACATACAAGCAAACCATACTATTCATTTTGTTAGAACAGTTATACACTACTTTGCTTATCCTATCCATTCATCCACAAGGCTTCTCCAGAAATGTCATTATTTGTGCATATGACCCAAGTGCTTCCAGTAAATGCTTGTGTGTCTAACTGTTCATTGAATCATTAGGCTTGAATGAGCAATTAAGGACTTTGATATGAGTTAGTATTCCATAAATAGCATTCCCCATGAAGATCACACAACAGATTGTCTTATGTCCATCAAGGTCTGTTGCAGTGATTAAAAAAAAAAAAAAAAAAAGTTCACACTGGCAATAAATTCCATCCCCTTTGATCCAGCTTCATTTTGATTATAAGATATGACAATGAACTAAATAAAGGTATTTCATGTGCCAGCAATAAGTACAAAACTTTCAAAGGCTTCCCCTGCTCTCATTTCAAACATGCAGATGTCTGTGCTACTTCTCCACATCTACCTTTTAAGAGAATTACCAAATATTCTTGACATAACAGCCTTTGGTTCAACTGCGTCAAAAAAATGGTTTGTTCATCTATGACATGACTACCATAGGAAGAAAGTGAGCTGAAGTGTTTTTCCTTCTTGTTTTCTGTCCTCTCTTCGTGGTTCCCCTCCCATTCAGGGCCACAAACATTTGCCTTCCATTGTGCTTCCAATTTAAGGATGCGTATGTGTTATATCCATTTTCTTCTATTCTTTCCTTCAATTTGCAGTCGCTATTAAACTCCTTCTGTTAAAAGAAGAGAAAAAACCACAAATTCAGAATAATATTTCAGCATACTAAAGGGAAATACTTTAAAGAAATGTTTCAAAAGATTGTAGTCTTTTGTATGTGTCACTCTTCTAGATTCTACAGTGCATTTAAATAAAAGATTCACTGTGTCCACAGCATATAAAGCTGCATCAGTTAGACTGCAATAAGAGAAATCAACAAAGATATGATTAATTATTCAATGCATAGATATAGCAGTTAAATGATATAATTCATTAAGAACTGAAAATCAACTTCCTTGTGTTGGAATATGGCAAGAATATTAAATCAAATTCTTAGTCATAAACTCAAAAGTATGAGGAAGCAATCTTGGAATCATTAATTACATGTCAGTTCTAACAAATATAACTCTTAAATATCATGAATGAGATTATTTATACCATGCATTAAACAAGTATTGATGGAATAGGACTTTTTCTTACTTAAAATACACTGGTAATGAAAAAGGGCTTTTTTTGGATAGGTGCAAATCACTGTTATGCTGCAATCGGAATTGATGTGAGGCCTGTTCACTTGGCTGACCTGAAAAGAGACTCAGCTCAAAAAGGAATCATGTATGATCCCATATCTTATTGATAAAACAAGATTAGAAGTAATTTTATATATGGGACCAGGGAAGACCTGGTTGGTGGAATTGCATACATTCAAATCCAATTTGACTCCCAAAGTGCTCTTTAATTTTAGGACTGGAAGTTATTTGAACAATGGCCAGTGGGCAAGACACTATCAAGGCAAGATTGTTTATAAGACTACTATTAGACACTGCCTACATTCACAAAGCTATCATATAGATAATTTATCAGTTGTTTTCTGTAATATGTCACTCCTGGCGTCAAGGTATTAAGAAGGCAGGTGCTCATCAATCACAGTTCTAAACCACAGTAACTTCTCCTATCTGCCTATTTGTTAAAGAGGCTTAAAGAAGCTCATTTTGTTAAAGAAACCTAATAGTGAGTCTTTTTTTTCCCCTCTCATTTTAATTGAAATCAGTCAAATGGAAAAGTATTTGATTGACATAGAAGGAGCTTTGCTTGTTTTCCTAGATGCAGAATTGTACTAAAATCCAACTTTTACTTCTATTCTTAGATAACAGAGAAAAGATGATGTTGTGATGTGCTTAAGAAGTCTTACTAGCAGAGGTCTGAGTGCTACACACTTTGCTCATTTTAAACAAATTTCAGCATAAGCCTGCACCAATGTCTATTGTGCACGTGCTCAGGGGTGTTTTCACAATTTTTATTGGTTCTGGTATTCATATCCATCTGCAAGCTGCCACACTGTAGTAATATGAGGCTAGCTGCAAATCCTGGGATTATGGGAAAAATAATAACAGAAGCATTCTTGAAATTGCTAAAGTATTATGGAATAGGTTTTTGATAAATCATTATGCTATGATTTTATTATGTGAATATTGAAAAATTATCTCAGCTGGAATTAAAAAAAAGGCTTCCCACATTCGTATCTTCCTGTCAACACTATTTCTAATACACTATGAATTACTGAATCTTATGGCAGCAATTTCCATCTATGGTACATGAAAGCTGCTTCGATGTCTTTTGTACATATATAGTGTTGGGATAGACTGTAAACAGACTCTCACCACACCAGGCAAGGCTAGCAACTGGGGTAAGAAAGCCTATCTTGAACTTTGGGATGGACCATCCCAAATGACTGAAGTGCTCAACTGAGATGTGTGAATTGAAGGTGGTGATTTATGCTAAAACCTTCATCTACATACAGAAGCATACCCATGATCAATGAGTGTACTGAGTAAATCAGTACACAGTTTTCTTTCTCAATAAACACTGATCATTCTGTATTTCTGACCAGTATAAATCTAGAAATTAAATCTACATTTACGGGAATATAAGAAACATTTCTTTGTTCTGGTCTTTCCTTAATGTGATTCTTTGACACAGTCATAGAGTTTAGAAAATCAGAAGTATATGTTCTTGAACCAGGAGTGAACTAGCCACAGAGCAGATGAGGGAGGAAAGTTTATATAGTTTGTATGAGCTAGACACACTCTGATGAAATGTTTCCTTAAAAAAGGTGGCCAAATGACTACAGGCCTCTTGGGTCTCACCTGAGATTATCATTACTTCATGGTTTTCAGCAGAAATAGGAGTCCTAGCTATGTTGCTCAACAATAAACTCAGTCTCTATATGTGTCCTCCTTTCTCTAAAGCATATGGATGATGTGAACATTAAGCAACCTGCAGAATGGCTCATAACCTTTCCAGGAACTGGAACAACATTGCAAAACCAAACCAAACCAAACCAAACCAGATGTAATACCAGAACAATCTAATGGTTTGTGTAATCATGGGAATGTGTGAGGATATATTTGAGGTTAGTTGTTAGATTTATAAATCATATTGCTCATATTGCTTTCTATTAAAAATATTTGGATAGCTTCTTTGGGGATTTTTTGTGTGTGGTTTTTTTTTTGTTTTGTTTTGTTTTGTTTTGGTTGGTTGGGTTTTTTTGTTTTTGTTTTGGTGTATTTTTTTTTTTAATTGTTTCAACTTTTTCCCCCTGAAAGCATCAGTAACCTCAAATTTACACAAATACAAATTAAGTATATATGGACAACTTTCAGTTCAATTATCTGAATTCTGCCCAGATAATTAAATTCATGTTATCTTAATCATTAATCAATATAGCCAATTTAAAGCCTACTACTCTAAGAATCTTCTTCGAAGTTTTAATTTAATGATTTGGTGTGTTTACTCCATCAGCTCAAGTTTCCATGATTTCAGGCACACTTTATCCCTCTCTCCCCTACCCCTGAATTGCTGCTAAGTGTGATTGCACTGTAGAAAAAACAGGGGAAAAAAGCCTTAAAGATTAAATTTTGTGAGTCCCTCTCTACTGAAAACTCCTTAATAAGCAGTGTGACTGAGGCAGTAAGCATGATAAATCCCAGCAGCTATGCTGGTATGACATGAGCTTAGCAAACAACAGGAAGCTTGTGGAGAGGGGTGCTCCTGGTTTATCAGAGGATGAAATTTTGATGAACAGCTCATTTCAGCTCTAATTAGTAGCAATACGCAGACAAGCAGTGTTTTCAATAGGCAAGACAGGGAGCTGTGCTGACTCCTGAAATCCATTTGGAATGTAAAAGGGTACTTACAGAGCCGTAGACTTTTCCTTTTTTGTTCATGGCTAAATAGTAGTTGCTCTTAATAGACTTAACCGCCACAACTCCAATTTCTACAGATGTTATCTCCAATATGCCTAAAAAATAAAAATTGAGCTATTTAGTCACTTTGTTACAGGATTTTCTCACAATAGAAAAGCCAGTAAACGTGAAAAATACTAAACTTGTAATATTTAGGACCAACTGACCTAAAAAATCAGCAGAAGTATTCTTTAAACCACTGCAAGAATACGTGTTTCCTAACCCTGCATTTTAAACCCCATACTTACTGAAACCATTCCATCCTTCTTAGCACAGATTTTACTAAAATTTATCAGAAGAGACATTGAAACCATAGCATCGAATTAAATAGCATATATCAATGGAATATTGGATTTTCCTCAATCTTTAAAACCCTTGTTAAACAATTTATTGCTTTTAGAACATTTAGATAAACTAAATCTCTCGGCTGCACTGAGCTCACAAATTCACTTTTGGCAAGTGTGTTGACAATGGGGGAAATACTAAGACCAAAACTAATGGCCACACTGTCTTCCAGATATCAGAAACATTTTGCTCTGTTTGTAAATAAGTATGATTTTCACCCCCTTTCAAACAGACACTTTCTGGGATACTGGATGGCTCAAAGCACCTGTAATGGGAGATACACCTTTTCATCTCTGTTTTCTGCCCAGGAGTGTACTGATTTGGGAGTAGGATGCCTGGCTCCAGCATTTCTTCTGTTCTGTAATTTATGTAGCAAGAGTTGGATCAATAGCCTGACTAACTCAGTGTGCTACACTAAGGGTGTACCAACAGAGAAATTACAGAAGGGGTAAAACTGTCCTCCTTGATTAGGCTGTGATAGCTTACATATACCAGGGACGTGCTGCTGATAGAGGCAGATCAGTGAGTCCATATTTGCAGGGCTCTAATCTCTATTATTCTTAAAATGCTGCTCATTTTCACAGCAAAGAAAAGCCAGTTGCTTTCTTGAGGGCAAGAATGTGATGCAAGCACTGCTGCAACACCATGAGTAACACTTTTTTGTTTGTTTGTTTGTTTGTTTTTGTATTTTCCATGCCAAAAATTGGTGACAAAAATGCTGTCAAGTCTTTCTACAGAATTGTATTCTGAACTGTGTCTGGATCCATTTCTAATACCAGCAACATGACGAAAAACCAAAACAAACCAAAACACAAAGAAGCAAGAAAAATACTGGTATAACATATGCCATTGTACATTTTCATATTGAAAGAGATTAAACTGATTTAGATTTTGCCATACTATCTTTGTAACAATAACATCATTTAGGCTATTTCAATTAACTATTTCACTAGAGCTGAAGGCGAACAGTGCCTAAATAAGAAACTTGTACAGAATTAACCCATTTTAAGTGTCTTGCACTTGAATGATGGACATCACCACTTTTCAGTAAAATACTTTAAGCAACACAAGTATTCCTATAATTAATGAAAATATAGTCTGTTTTTTCTGGTAGTTTGTTTGCAATTTCACACTCCATTATATTCCCGGTGGAGGTCATGAAGAGAAATATTAGTACATTTACATTATATCCACAACAACTATCTTGATTACAGCTGGTTAGGCTATTTAGTTGTAGCAAATGTAGCAGAATTGTTCCAAATTATTATCAGGTTGATAATATCATCACTAATGATCCTGGATTTATTGTCACTGAGTCTGTACTTGAAAGTTGGAAAAAAAAGTATAATTTTCGTTGACAATTTTGCATACTCTTTCCTCTACAGTATTTCTTTTGGGAGAATTGGATATTTTAATACATGTTTTTCTTTTAAATGCATTTAATCTTGATTTGTTAACCCTTCAGTAATAGGGACCTAATTTGATACTTTGCTATTTTGTTACTCTCTGTAGTCCTCCAAGAATTACCTGCTAGCTACAAGGTCAGTTACAATCTAGATTTTGTCTACATTGCAAATTATTCACTGCTATTTACAGATTTTCCCATGAGAAGAATCTCTAATTTGATAGAAATCTTCTGAAGGCAATAGGAATCTTTCATTGGTTTCAGTGATGTAGACAAATTTCAAAGGTCAGCAGGAGAGCATCTACTCGTCTGACATAAATCTGCAAGAAGGCATAAGAACTTTCTAGAACTTTGCAATAATTTAATTTGAATAAAATTAAGTAAAATGCCTTTGATGTAAGGGTGAAAATATTCATTTGATTATTCTTGAAGAGTTATTAAATTCTTCAGGAATATATTAAAAAAGGAAATTGAGACACACAGTATAAAGTTTAAAACTGCAGTGTTTTTGCCTTTCTCCCTCCCTTGCTTTTTTAAAAAATTTCTATTTTATTCCCATCAGTGTTAACTTTTCATTGGAGCTTTTTCTTTTCTCTATGACTGTAACAAAAAAGGCATTTCAACATGCTTCCTTGCACACCTCATGTATGTGATTTTATACCATTGCTTGGGCTTAGGTACTTCCATGCCTTAAGACTTAGCTACAAGAAGATATGTAACGTAAATAATTTTCTTGATATAATCTGACTTGTAATTATTCTTGATAATAAGCAGTGCAAAAAACCCAATGTTATTGGGGAAAAAGACTTAGGAGTTATTTATTCTGGTTTCATGGTTCTTAGGAACTTGGAAATGAAAATAAATTAATTAAAAATACCAAAATGCTCTGGCCTCTATTATGGTTTTAAACCAGATAGCACACTATTATTTTACAGCATAACTCTGTAAAACCCAACAATTACAACTAGTCCCCATTGACCACATCCACTGTAAAAACATAGCTTTCAATACCCAAACCATTTCCAATTCATTATAATTAGAAAGATTTCAAATATCAACTTGTGATGTGCCCTGTAGCTATGCATGTACTCTTTTTACAGGTCCCAAAGGCCTTATACATATTCCCAATAGAACCCAAATGAATTTACCTTAAATCAACTGTATTTTTATAGTTTATAAAAGTGATCATTATGCATATTACAAGGCAACAGAAACCTGATTGTTTGTCTTCTTGCTTTGCACAGAGGGTCTGTAAAACTACAAGTGAAAATTGCATTCCCTTGATTAGGTTAATTAATTTAATGTTAATTAAAATTGCCCTATGTTTTATCAAAATGCTGATAATATGAAGTAAAACTCATACCAAACCAAACCAACAAAGAAAAATATCCTAGAAACTAGATTTAATTATGCCAAGCAATTTTTAGGAAAAAAATTTTAGGAAAAAATATTGACAGAATATCAATATCAGATCTGTTGTCAAGGCAGAAGTGCAGTGATGCAGACACAGTCTGCAACAAGAAACACTTGATTCTGGGACCAAGTTCAACTTCTTTGCAGTGTGAGGCATTGGTCACTTTTCTGTAGTTGTATCATTTGTTCTTGTAACTCTCTTAAGGAGTTCTTAAAAACACATTTAAAACATCTCCAACACTAGTTGCAGTCCTCCCTACATCGAAGAAGAGAACCACCATCCATCTTCCTACACCCTTCAGAGATTATCTCGTAGCAATCCACAAACAATCCCTCCCTCCTTTGAGTTTTCTTCTGTTTGCAAAAACATTGTAGATGAAGAGCTGGATAGAATGTGATGATGACTGAGAGCTTGAGAAACCTTTTGGTTTCCTAAAGGGTGACAAGTAGCTGCTGGGCCCGTGGAGGAAGCTGCAGCTCTTGGTAGGTAACTGAGGACAGGGCTTGGTGAGACTAAACTGGCTTTTCAGAACTTTGGCTTATGTGCCCTACAAAGGGAGTTTCTCTGAAGGAGTGCCTTTGACTGCCACTGGCTTGAGTTAAAACAAGTTGGTGTTCAGGCATAATGTTGGAGATGTGGTAGCTCAAAAAGCTGTTCTTAGTAGGTGGCTTGCAAAAAGAGGTTTGAAGCAAATAGATTTCTTGGATGTAGTAATGGAAGAGTAAAGTGCTAAGGTGTATGAGGCTACTGCCTCTGTTTCCACTCTGTTTCACCAATTACACCTGTGCAAAGCAAGTTGAAAATATCCCCAAATTACTAATAATACTGATATGTCTATATTAACCTGCATTTAGTAATAACACAACAAGGAAGATGATTAATTCACAGATTAAAAAAACATAGGAAACAATGAAGATGGCAAGCAAGTCTTTCCTTTGAAATCTTTTTCAATAAACCAAAGTAGTTCCACTGAAAGGCAATCTTACAGACTTTGTGCTTGATTTTGAAAGGGAGCTTAAGATAAAAATCACACAACCTACAGTGCCACAGTTATGGGCAGAAATCTCAAATAATAACCAACTTGAACCATAACCTAAGCGTTGTCATAAAAATGAAAGTTTATTTGAAGTTAAGCCAGTTCTGTGGCTTTATTAACACCTCATATGCCCACATCTAATATATTTGGATAAGCCTGAGAAATGTATCAAAATCTCTGAGCCTTCCTATATCAGCATAGTGTCGGCATAAGATGTGCATAAAAACCACATAAAAGACTAATTATTAGAGCCCATTTTCAGATTCACACAGTCTGTAACTATTTCCTTTTCATCTTCTACTGCTTTTATGGCTTTAATTTCAGAGCAGAGCCAGATGTCTCAATCAGTGTTTCTCTGTAGATCATGCAAATTGAAGAGTAGCACCTGGGATGAGAGAATCTCTTAGTGATCAATAGTGAAAGCTGTTGGTCAGCAAAGGAGGAGTTTAAGTCTAGCTACGAAATTATCAGGAATCAATTTAGCTAGTACATATCCTGACATGTAACAAACAATTACTTCAGGATCACAATTAGCCTACATTTTCCCCTCTGGTCAGTGAAGAGAGGCAACTTCAAAGGACAGTTCTAAACACCACCACTCCCTCTATTCCAAAGCAAGATGGGTTAAACTGAAGCAAAGGAAATGATGGAAGTGACTTTGAGGACAAGTCTGTGCTGTCAGTTATGATGGGTTCAGATGTTCCCTCAAGGACACCATGTCTGTCACTTTCATCACTAACACACAAGCATGTAATCAGATTTAGCCAAAGTGCTAGGGAATATAAACATGTTTGCTTCCTTCAGATGGATTTAATTCACACTGTTGAGATGGGATGGCTACACATAGAGCCAACTG